TCGGTTTATTTATATCTCACTATTACAAGTACATAACATATCCTATCTAATGCAATTAGATGGGATATCACTGTCACTCTTGTTCATGTTGTAGCACGTTTTATGTGCAGAAGCTGTCATAAGTGATAGTTGAAAGTATGTGTAGTTGTTGGTAATACGATCGGTTTATTTATATCTCAGTATTACAAGTACATAACATATCCTATCTAATGCAATTAGATGGGATATCACTGTCACTCTTGTTCATGTTGTAGCACGTTTTATGTGCAGAAGCTGTCATAAGTGATAGTTGAAAGTATGTGTAGTTGTTGGTAATACGATCGGTTTATTTATATCTCAGTATTACAAGTACATAACATATCCCATCTAATGCAATTAGATGGGATATCACTGTCACTCTTGTTCATGTTGTAGCACGTTTTATGTGCAGAAGCTGTCATAAGTGATAGTTGAAAGTATGTGTAGTTGTTGGTAATACGATCGGTTTATTTATATCTCAGTATTACAAGTACATAACATATCCCATCTAATGCAATTTTTCTATTAAAAGAGGCATTATCATTAGCACCAAAAATCACATTCAGATTAATTCTAGTGTATTTAGCACATTAATATAAGTATTTTATGCAAAAACATTGTTTTGTCTACATTGAAATTTTTGTTTAAAATTAATTATTTGTGAGTATGAAGGCAGCTGTAAGAGATTATATAAACAGTAGCTAAATTCACACCTAACCAGGGTGGTAGGGCTCTGGACAAGGCTTCTAGCTGTCTTACTAAAACTTGGATGTGGATGATCATTTTACTACAGGCTAAAAGTCGTTAACAAATTGCTATTTATAGATAGACAATTTTCATTAAATAAGTATTTTGACCTTATAATTTAATACATTATGCATTAATAAACCATTACCCTGGACAGTAGTCATAGAGGAAACACTTTATACCATGGGTATATTATGTTTTTGACACAGTTGTGAAGAAAATATTTAAGACGTCAAAACAAAAACAAACTATTTGTCTATTTTGTTAAAGCCTGGAAGTTCAAAGATAGAACATGTCAATGCAGTTTTAATGATTTGTTTTTATTTCATATCTGTATGTATATTTTTGAAAAATATTTGTATGATAATTGTCTAAAATAACAATTGATCAGTAATTTTGATTTAATTTATAATATTATGAAACAAATATAAATCACTCAGCATTGCCTAAATCATGTTGTATAGTGCAGCTTGGACATGGATTACTGACAAGTGATATCTCCAAGAGATGGAATTTTGACAATGATGGTAGAAGAAAACCCATATAAAGCAAAATATGGATGGAATGTATAGTAACAGTAATTTGATGATAACAATATTTGGAGAAAAAACAATGAAATAAAGAATGTTTCATTGACATTAACTAATAATATGGCACATGTAAGAGTTTCTGAGAATACAGCTCTACTTATCCGTGAATCTTTGCATAAACAGTTGGACTTGCACCAGTGAATAAATGAATACGTTAGTTTTACATAGTAATCTATAGTTTAATGAATACATTGTTTACTTAATGATTTATAATTTAATGCATTGGATATATGAGTAAGATATTAGGAAAATTTTATGTTGGTCAAGCAACAGAAAACATTCCAGGGGTAAGAAAGAATAAAGACTGAAGGTAAAGATGAGCAGGTTCAGCTTAACAGGCTTGAATTAATATTTTTGGTATTGTTTTGAAACTGGACTTTCAGACCATGGTTTGCGCTTAAGATTAAGATGTTAAATTATTAAGAAGAAAGTGTAGTACTAGTTTAGACAATGTGTTAGTTTTTTTCTGGATCATGTTAGAATGATAAAAAATGTGAATACTTTTTAAAAACTTTTCCTTTTTAGAAGTTTTTATTTAATGCAATAAGCAAAATTATTTAAGAACAAAATTAAATACTTGATACTTGAGTGGTGTAATATTGTAATGCAGTATCACTGTCAGTGACTAACATATATGCGAACAGTAACATTTGTTTCTGTGCTAGTTGTCGTAGCCTCTATGAGTACATTTGTACGTCGTGATGTCATAAGATTATAATACACCTATAAAACATTGCAGATGTTTTATCAGCAGGCCTGATGCGATGTATGAAGTTTTGTGTATGTATAATTGGAATTTACAACTTAGTTAGTCGCCCGGCATGGCCAGGTGGATAAGGCGCTCGACTCACAATCTGAGGGTCGCGGGTTCGAATCCGCATACC